GGGAGCCATTGCAGAAAAAAGGCAATGTCAACTTCAAAATCCAAATGGACCCTGTTTACTCATTCATACTCATTTCTGGTTTATTGTCCATCGTTTTTTCTAGGCGTTAATTCCCAAAAATATGGTTTCATCAAAATGTAATTGTGGTGTTCCTTCAACTATGGGTATTTTTGGCCCTGTGCACTTTTAGAAAATAAACTTTCTTGAAGGGGTATTCACCGTTGGCAAGATGATAAAACATCAACACCCATATTGCACTTTTAATGTAGACGCCCCTCTGTTGATCCGACTGTCCATATCTGAAGTTTGATATGTACACTGGGTTGTTTCAACACATGTTTGGATCAAATACGGACAGACCCAACCATTGAGTTTAGAAATGTAATAAAAAAATGTAATCCAATGGTTGTGTTTGCCCATATTTGACCCAAACATGGGTTGAAACATCCCAGCATTTTTAGAGTGTAAGACCTGGAGCTGTCAAACATCCGTTGAATCAATGTTTCCAATAAATTAACTTGGATATCTGGGTGCAGGTAACTCACATTACTAAATCTTAATTCACACGTAAAAAAAAAAAAGAAAAAGAAATTTTAATGGAAAATTATGCACTGTTGAAATATTGTGTTCATATTCATAATGAATTTCATATTATAAATTAATATTCATAACTAAGCAATTAAATAGTATGAATTTTGTAATAATTAAATTAGTAATTAATATTTATCTAGATTTTTCATCAAGGTACAACAAGAGCACTGCAACTTTACTATAAGGGTTTAATTATGTGTTGCATGTCATTCAAAAAAATAAATAAGATGATGTAAATAAATATTGAAATGGTTTAAAAAGTTTATTTCACTCAAATATAGTATTTTACGGTATTTCCAGATTCAAAATGTGGGTCTAGGAATAAAATCTATAAATAAAAGCCATTTGTACCTGTATTTAAAAAAAAAAAAAACCTTGATTTTAATAAAATCAACCCCTAACACAGAAGTACCCAAAGTTGTGGAAACATTGACTAATTTACTCCACTTCTTAAATAATTTTCCATTTTGTCTGACCTAGTCCTACAGCCATTCATTAATAAAATCAAGTTTTATTTAATTTTATTTCTAATCAATGAATATTCTGTTTATGTTTTATAAGCTAAATGTTTTATTCTTTTTAAAGAGTCCAAAATACAGTTGCTCAATCTATAACATTGAGGCTGTCCATGTTTTAGACAGGATCAGACATTCATGCATTTTCCACCTCATTGAATTGCTCATATAATTAGTATTCTAAACAGCGAATTAATATTCCAGTATATCATTAAGGACTCCTGATGTCGTCAGCTCACCTGGGACGAGGATTGGGAGGAGGGGAAGGGTAGAGGAGGTCTGGCTGGTCAGGGAGAGGTACAGCAGGGCGTCCCACATGGGAGAGAGGGATTTGAGGATGAGTGAAAACTGAAGAGGGTTGGAGGATGAGGAAGGGAGGATGGAAGTAATTGGACCAAGGGGAGGCTACATTCAGACAAACACATTGCATTCCACATGAACACACATTTAAATGCAAATACAAACACACGTTAATGCATTCTCATATTCCACCCACAAAAGAGTGTTTCCACACACACATTTCCACAGTGACATTTTTGCTGATACGGTTACTAACACACACACAGAGCGAACGAGACATGTTCTATAAGTGGACAAGGTAAATTAGAGAGGTAATTACTTTTTGTGCTGTCAGAGCTGAGAAAGGTTGAGAGATGCTGTATAAGACAGCTGTGGCTCACTGCTGAATAGAGAATGAGACTTAGACAGACAGATGGACAAGCTGATGGACAGGCCAGGTCAGAGTTGATAGGAATAAAATACTATCCAAATCACATTGGTTAAATGTTATAGGCGGTTGTTTTTACAGACTCAAGAGTAATTAACATTTTAAATCTCACTTTTGAAAAATTAAAGTACACATATATGACACTATACTTTTTTGTTATGGTATTAAACCTCTGAGAATGTTTCTAATACAACAGCTGAGGGAATGATGGTCTATTTTTCTTTCTCTCTTCTGACTCCTAGTTAGTTTCTTAGCTTGTTTTCGCCACAAAATAAAAAAAAGTAATTGTAACTTTATCTCACAATTCTGATATATATATATATATATATATATATATATTTCAGAATTATATAAGCATGAAAATATACTGAATATTTTCATGATTTGTAATCACAACATTTTTTCTTTTGTCAAATCAACTTCAGATAACTTAAAATTTTGAGTTTCTGGTGATTTAAATTAATCTCCTTCATTGTATTAACTCAATTTTTCCATTTTAATGAAATTAAAATTTTAAGGCAACCAGGTTACTTACTTTAAGTTAAACCAACAATATTTTGTGATTTAGAAAGTCATAATTGCATGTTATAAACTGCTATTCTGAGTCTTTTTCCCCCACTCAGAATTGGACATTATAACTCGCAGTTCTGGGAAAAGAAGTCAGAATTGTGAGATAAGGTTTTGATAAGTAATTTCAAATCAATTCACATTTATTTGTATGGCGCTTTTCATAATGCATATTGTTTCAAAGCAGCTTTACAATAAAAATGCATGTCTGCATTACAATTTGGAGTGATCTGTTTCCAAGTTATTTCAGAAGTGTACATATACAAATCACACAGTTAGCTAATCATTTCACAATAATAATTTCATTTCATAATAAAAATATACATCACACATTTATTTTTGTTATTTTATGTAATGTTTGTTATTAAAAATAAAGATGAGAGGCAAATTACAAACAACAAAACTATGCAGGAACGGTATAAATGTAACAACTAGTGCTTTAAATTTTCAGGTAGAGTATGTCTATTTAACATACTGTAATTTGTATTTGCATGTAAGAAATCAATCATTTGTAAAACTAAAACATTGCATTCTGTTCTCTGTATGAATTAAATATACACGGATTGTTATGAAAGCTACAAAATTTATTCCGTCAAGTAAGTGATTCTCTTTTTGTTTTGCTCTATCCTTCCTTGTTCATCAATACATCATCCGTCGGGTCAGGGGTCACTGTTCTGCCAGAACTTAACTTGTGTATGGCAAGTCAAGTAGTTTATAACTTTATAGTTTATAAAGTTATAAATCTGGATATTTTTATTCACTTCAAAAGGCCTTTGGAGTGGTATGGATTACTTTTATAATGGATGGATGAGCTTTTTTTGAGCTTCAAAATCTAAGTTACTATTCACTTCCATTATAAAGCTTGGAAAAGCCAGGATATGTTTTACTATAACTCCGATTGTGTTTGGCTGAAAGACGAAAGTCATATACACCTGGCTTGAGGGTGAGTAAATTATGTGATTTTTGGATGAACATTATGAGTACATTATGTTCTAATATGTACTTATATGCTGGTACATATTGGCACGTTGGGTGTGTTCACACTTGGCAAGTTTGGTTGTATTAAAACCATCTCTGGTGTCATTGATCTGTTAGTGGGGTTCATTTGAATACTGTTAGTGTGAACGCTGCCATCCGAAACTTTTCAAGGGGTCTCGATCCATTTCCAAATGAACTTTGTTGATATTCTCCTGAAATATGAATGGACCAAATATGGACCAAAGACATCTAAACAAACCAAAGACAGGACATGATGTTGCAAGATGCAACCTCAAAAAGCAGGGAATGCTCAAGGATACCTGGTTCCTCTCATCATTGGAGCTACATTGCCCATTATATCTTTTTGCAGCAGATCTTCATTTGTGCGAAATGGAGGAATTCTTGCCAGTGTTTTGACACCTTTACACCATTCAGACATTTTAATGGATGCAGCATTTTTGAGAACAGGGGATTTAGTATTTCATATTTTAATGGCATTTAAACACTTGCATCATGAGGCATTTTTGTGCTGGATATAGTGCTTCTGGTAGTTGATTGATGTTGATCAGGAGTTTGAAAACCATCTTGAACTACATCAGATATACAGTATTCATGTGGGGGGAATAAAGATGATTTCTGTCATGCTGATGCCGAGACGTCTTACCCTCCTGAAGCATTTAATGCCTTATCAGTTCATTGCTTGTACCCACACTGGCTATAAATGCATGGCTTTGAGTCAGAGTTTTCAAAGCCTTGTTCATCTGATGCTCCACATTTGGAAAAAAAAAGATCTGATAGAGTTGAATGTAAGGTTCAATATATAAAGCAGTTTCAGATCAGAAAAAAAACATAACTTAGTCCCTTCATCTCAGTCTTTCAGGGGTGAACTGGGGTAAAATGTGTAAAACTTGCATTAACTACACCTGTTGGTTGTCTAGTAGGATGGTGATTCTCAACTCATTTGGCCATGGGACCCACTATTTCCCATGGTTATTAAGCCGCAACCCCTTTTTTTAGGCATTAAGGAGCTGAGAAGCTCTTTTTCTGGCAGATTGATACATCCAAAGATTTAGAAGATCTTTTCTTCCGGCGGCTGTGAGACTTTATAATTAGTACTGTTAAGCATTATACAGAAACTTCTACGCTATAAATCAATGCACAATGTCACTTTGCATCATTAAATGGGATCTTGTTTTTGTTTTTATCTGTTTTAAGCTTAAGGAAAAGCATGTCATGCATATATTTATCTTAATGTAACTTATTATTCTACTCTATTCTATACTATCCACTTTCTGCTGTAATGTTGAAATTTCTCACTTGTGAGACATATAAAGGCTGATCTAATTTAATCTAATCTAATTTGAACCAAGTAAATGTATTTCGCTAAAATGATTAACACACAGTTGTCCCACTTTACTTAATATTCACATAAGAATTTCACTAACACCATAAGGATATTAAATAGCAGTCCAAAAATAGTAAGTAATTTGGCACAATCCACCACAGTTATCCAGAAATATAGAATTTGTGGTGTTTTGGGGTAAGAAACTACAGATCTCATGGTAAATAAACAATATTAATATGACAGTGTACTATATATATATACTTTTTTTTCTGTCCAGGGGATTTATCATGGATCAGTAATGGTGACGCACAGTTGTTCTATGGCAGAAGCCGATGCTAATACAGTGAGTGAATACTGGGCCTGTGCCAGGACTGAAATGGTCCAGGTGAGGACATCAGGAGAGGACACCGCACTGTGTGTGAGTATGTGTGGGTGTGTGTGAAATCGTTCAGACAATAACTCTACGAATCTTTGCTTCAAGGACACTGGACAGTGGTTTTAGCAACTAACTCCTTAACACTGCTGTAGACTTTCTCTTTTACTCTTTTATTCTGCTCATATCGTTTTTTTCAGTCTCTCCTTTTGTTTTTCTTATAATAATCACATCTGTGGACTGGAGTTTTGTTGTCTTGTGTATATGTCTCCAGCCACACTTCAAAATTCTCTTCAGGGATGTCCTCGAAGGGAAAAATGAAGTGAAATTAAAGTTGGTCAGTATTAAAAAAAGAATTCTAAAACTGCACAAGAAAATTAGGCTTAGCATATTGTCATTACTATGCTGCGAAGGGAGTCTCAAGAGAAGCCAGGTTATCCCGGTAAATGTTGATATGAAAAATCAGGTACATTTAGCAATATAGCAGGTGAATTATGTATATGATGTATATTACGATGTTATGATGAACTACATGCCTTTCTCCAATGACGTTCTAATAAGTTCAAAGCGTTTCTAAGGATGTTTTAGAAGGAAGCTGTCTGACTCTGAGATGGTGAACGGGAACATGGTTTGTGTAACATTAGCAACACACTATTTGCTGTTTGATTACGTAGTCCAGCCAAACTGATCATATCAATTACCGTAATGTGTCCAACTTTGTACAAAACGCATCACCATTCTGATACATCAACTTGTAGACGAGCCTGTATAATTCACTCTTCTTCTGAATCAGTTTCTGGTTCAAATATACAATATACGGCTGTATTAAACCAATATTTCCACTTATTTTGCAGCGTTTACTTTTAATTTTAGTGAGTTTTAAGGGATAAAATTATTGATGACAGGGGGAATTTAATACATAGATAAAATTATATTTATCTTAAAAAAATTGACATTTGATATTATTGTCATGACATATTTCTTAAGAACTATACTTTTGGGGTACAACAATAGTGGCAATCTAATGATAATGAGAATTATAAAAAAAAAAAAAACTCCAGAAGCCATGAGATTGGGGTATAAAAATAAATTTCTCATTTCTCATTTTGATTTCGTAGTGAAATATGAACATGTTTTAACGAAATGTACCATTATGATCAGATCTAACGGATTGCCAACTGGTGGTGAGTGATGCAATACCAAAAAAACTTATCAAATAAAATGTAATTTTGATGC